AGTTAAAATAAAAAACAAATACAACATTCCATATGCACCATACAATATTCCCTTTGAACCTGGTATGCTATACAACATACGCCGTTACACTCACACATTGTATTGGGAAGCTTACACCCTTTCAGGAGATATTGCCGTTTTATAACCATTCTTATTCTCTTATTTTTTTTGCCTTTTTTGGCTGTTATCTTGTGAACTATTCTAGATATAGAGAAACTCTGAACAGCTTAAATGACTTACAAATATGGGAACATAACTGGATTAATCAAACGTGGTCACAATATTTTTAGTGATGGTTGCCGTTGTAGCTAATTCAAATATTGCATATTTTGTCAAGTGTGCGAGAGAGGCCCCTGAGAGGTGCTAATTGCATCTTGATTCATTATCCTAAATAGATTTATAAGGTTTGCATATCGAAAAACTACTGGTGTCTCTTATTTGACCAATATTTGTTAGCTAATAAAGAATTCGTTGTCATCATAAAACAATATAACAAAAATACTGGACTTTACGGCAAATTTAAAAAAGAGGAAGTCAACAAAAACTTCCAAAATGAAACGCTATCAATCAACGGAACAAGTGAAAAAAATGCAATATTTCTGACTTTGTGTAGGCATTGTCTGAAGAAAACTGTAGGTTTAACCTGGTTTTATAGCTAGCTACACCTCCCACGTGTATGACAGTTGTTTATAGTTCCGTTATAATGACCAACTTAGGTGGGCAAACCAAACAGACCTAATAGGTTTATGTGACCATAACTGGGATCTAGCAGCCAATACTGTGTAAACAAACATTACAGACATATAACACAACTGACTTAAACTGTCAAACAAACAAATGAATCTAACAAGGCCGACCAACTTTAATGAACAAAGAACACGAGTAAATTGTGTGGATGTATTATAACGACCATCTCACCTGTAGTGCAAGCGGTATCTATTTAATGAAAGTGTTCGGCATCACAAATGATTGAAAAATTAACACCCTCTGCATGAGAACAACATGAACAATATAAACAAAAGTTCACCCTTTCTATCTATGTTCCACTGCTTGGAATACCATATTGAGAACCCTTCATCGACATCAAAATAATAAATTTATATGAATAAGCCTAAGGTATACCTTTTTCTCTTTTGGTACTTATTAATTGTTTGGTGATTACTTTTATCTAATTATATATGCGGTTGTAAATAAATAGCCATGGGGTTTTATAATCAGTAGCACCTTTCGTCTTTTGATTTGTAATAGGAAAAACCAAAGTATTTTCATAGAAACTAGTTGATGCTGTGGTGCTAACTTCACATTTGCCATATTCAGGAGTATGATTTTGATCGAGGTTTATTGATTCGTATGTATTGTCAGATCCTTCTGTTTTCCTTGATAAGGAATCTTTGGTTGAACTGTACCTTGAAGTTGTTGATTTATTAGAATGTGTATCAATATTGGTCCCAGACAAATCCATTACACCCATTCGATCACTTGTATTGTCACGCAAGGTTTCAATATTTACAGCATTATAATTAGTTGTACCGATTTCATCAAACAAGTCCTCTTTTTGGATTTCAAATATGACATTTGATGATTTCTTACGTTTCAGGTAACAATACACATTTGAACAGATAAAACAAACAAAAATTCCACCTACAACACCGCCTGATATCTTCAAATACTTCCAATACTCATCATTCAGTGTCGAATTACATGTACAAGGATTATCTGAAAGAAAATAGCGTGAAAGGTTTTAATTATAACAGTATGATATAACATTCTCGAATTCTCTTTCACAACACTAAGACGAATAAAGCAATATACACCTGAGCTGCTGCTGCTGTTCAGTCCTATTTGGTCCCAAAACTGAGTCTATTATTTCCAAGTCTTATATAAAAAGCCTATTTTTGCCGAATCAACTTTATTTATCAAACATCTACATTTACATTCTAAACAAGCCAAACAGTACAGTTTCGATGTCAGTTAAACGTATTTGAATTCAAACAGACTTAGGACAAGAAAATATAGAGGACAGTGATTGAAAACTTATTATGCAAAAACGGTTTCTTTGAACTTGATATGTGTTATAGAAATAACTTGATAGTAGTCTGTTTCATTGCATTTAATTAAAAATTGAAATCATGCAAACTTTGATTCATCTCATTAACAAATTGTTTAACGTATCTTGTCGAGCCTTCCATTTGATATAAGTCCAACAATTGAAATGTTGGTGTTCATTTGTAACATATAACATGTATAACAAGAAATTAAAAGAGAAAAAGAACAATTGCTTGCATGTATGTCATTTGGATTTGGATAGATAAGTGCCTCATTGGCAGTCATTACACATTTCCTTATTCTTTTATTTGCTACTGAGTCATTGTTAACCATACTCAATTCACTCACACCAATGAATTAGGCTTGTTACATGCAATTAAAGAAATACAATGTTAATGTTAATACTATTAACCTCATCAAGATATTTCGGGAAGCCTACACATTAACGCTTTTATATTTGAGTGTTTTATTGACTTGCAGTTATACATGTCATACACGGCGTCGAACTGTATTGTTTGCCTTTGTCTATATCACTTTTATGTATACTAAACAGTCATAAACTGATGACATCATCAATCGAGCAGCATGTTCATTAATTCTATACATTTTAAGTTGAAATTTATTGTGAATTTTAAAATATAGTTGAATGTGCTCACAACATTACGTGGTTGCCAATTCTTTTTATAAACTTCTTAGGATTGTAACTTTTTTACATTTGGGCGTGCAAGAAATCGCTTCGATTCAGCCAAACGGTATGTTTGGTTTTATATACACATGAAGAGATGAAAATGTTGATTTTATGACATCAAACTCGATACATAAATGTGGTCAACATGTTCAAATTGTTTTTTTTATATTGATCTGTAAATATAAGTTAAACACGTTTTAATAGCAATGTTTTTATTTCAATGTAAAATGCTAAGGAACTGTTTCATGATATATTCTTTATCAGAAATAATCATGTTTATCACCTTCTATAATTTGTGTTGCGTTTATTTCCCAATCGGTAGAAGTATCTAGAACAGTTTTTCTTTCTTTGGGGTACATTGTTGTACTACTTGATGACATATCTGAAGTCACAAATTAAGATATTAGATATTATATTCATTTTAACTTAAATTAACATTTTTCTGTCTTTACTTTTTAAATAATTGATACCTTTATAACAAATTTTAGTCTGTAACGGTCATTTTGATCATAACGTCATCTGAAAAGTCTGAATGATAAATAATTAAGTCATGTTCAGTCTTTCAGTCATTTTCTAGACTTATCCAATGTGGCAAATTCAGTACTGTTCATATCGCTTGCAGTCAATTCAGTACTGTTCAGTAGCTTTTCAGACAATTCAGTATGTGACTGATTTGCACATGTAAATAACAACTACTGCACAGTCTAAACACACACTGAACTAATCTTAATTGACTGATAGCGAATTGTTTGAACAATACAGAATATAACGCAGTGGATAAGTCTACGAATTTACTGAAAGATTAGATATGACTTCATAATGTATTGTTCAGGTTTTAAGGAGTTGTTCAGGTTTCTGTTTTTTGTTTTTATCATTCGAGCGTCACTGATAAGTCTTATATATACGAAACGAGAGTTTGGCGTACCAAATTATAAACCTGGTATCTTTGAAGGTTGAGTTTTTTTAAACAATAGGTCGATGTCGCTGCTGTAGGACGTTTCGTCCACGAGTGTATCAGAAGACCAGTAGTCAACACTTTTGTGTTGATATCATTGTTATGTTCATTTTCTATAAAAAGTTAAACAACAAAAATACCGAACTCCAAGGAAAATTCAAGACTGAAAGTCCCTTAACAATTGGCAACATCAAAAGCTCAAACACATCATACGAATGGAAAACATCTGTCATATTCCTGACTTGGTACAGGCATTTTCTTATGTAGAAAATGGTGGATTAAACCTGGTTTTAAAACTAGCTAAACCTCTCACTTGTATGACAGTCACATAACATTCCAATATACATGTACTGACAACAATGTGTGAACAAAACAAACAATCTCCTGTTCTAAATACTTTTAATTCAATTTTAGCCTTAAACGGTAATTTCGATCTTAACAACGTCTAAAACATCTGAACCCTAAAAAATTTAAGTCTTGTTAATAATTTAAGTTATTTTACAAATAATTTCTTGTTGTAAGTACAGTATCGTACATTTGGAACGTTAATCGTTGTTTGGAACGATTTGGCATGCAGTCGATCTAATACTATTCACTAGCAATTCAGACATTTCAATATGTTGTTGATTTGTACAGAACAAACAACTACTGTACAGTTTGAAGATCAACTGCACTTATATTGATTGACTGCAACATTACTAAATTAACCGCTGTGGATAAGACTGAAAATGTTCTGAAAGACAGAACATGGCCTAATAATGTATTGTTGAGTCTTTAAAGAGCTGTTCAAATCAAATATCTATTTCAGTCCAAAACACTGGACGTTTTCCAAGTTTGTTGCTTGTTGCGGAAACCAGTCCTTTGATATTATTAACGATCAATTGAAAAAAAACCTTGTGTTTCAAACCGAAAGTAAAATACTGATCATGAATACCGAAAATCTGATGAAAAGAAACGTTTTAAGAGTCACGTAAATTGTCTTGCCACAAATAAGTCCTTTAGTTTTCTCGTTTGAAATTTTTAACATTTTAATGTCGGAGCCGTTTATAGTTTACTATACGGTATGAGTTTTTCTCAATGTTGAAGGCCGTATGGTGACCCATAATTGCTAATATCAACGTAAATATTGCTCTGATGGATGGTTGTCTCATTCACACTCATGCTATATCTATGTATTCGAATTTTACACGCACAAATCATGTAATGAAGCAACTATGTTAAATAACATCATTCTGTAAATGAAGTTATTGTAAAATTGTGACTGGCTGTAGAACATTGTTTATCGCATTGTATTACTGGTATAATGGGGCATCATCGTGAATATTCTAGATAAAATATGGTAAACTAACCTATCAAAGAGACATTAAACTTAGTCTCATGAAATCCTCCATTATTCAAAAATCTGCATACATAAAAACCAGTATTTTCGTTTTGAAAATCGAAAATAATCAAATCATAGTTTCTGTCATTTTTCTGAACAAAGTACTTGGACTGGTTCAGTTTCCGGTTTTTTTTATTATTTAAAAAGTAAGGTACATTTTCTTTAGTTGCGTTGTTGACATCTGGTCCTAACCAGGTTCTTGAATCTCCAGAGCCGCAACAATTCAAGATAACTTTTTCTCCCTTTTGAACCCTCACTGGGACTATATCATTTATAATGCCTGAGATTTAAGAATATAAGAATATAATGTTAAGTTGTGTATAATTGTGTCTCTATCTATCAATTTTAGTCGAGAAAGTATTTTTTACGGAAGCTATTTCATTCAAATCTAAAGAAAAGAGATCATGTTTCCTTTCCTATTAGTAATTATCCATTTTTAGATGGTGACGTTCCCTTGTCACCATCTTATGGTATTTATACATCTCAACTTGTTCGATTCGCTCGAGTACTTAACAACGTATTTGATTTTAATGAAAAAAATCCCTGTATTACAGAAAAATTATTACACAAGGGTTTTTGATATCACAAACTTGTCAAAACATTTACTAAATTTTATCATCGGTACAAGGACATTATTCGTAAATATAAATCAACGTGAAGACATCTTATACGTTGAGGTATTTCACATTCAATCTTTTATGGTGATATTCTATACAAAACACAAAAATGTCGTCGTTCACCTCAAAAGCTAACCAAACCTTTAAACAGACTTATCCAGAAGGGATATAATTACGATACTGTTGTCAGGCCATTAAAGATGGCATTTTTTAAAGTTAATATTGATTTACTCATAGGGTCTTTGCATCGGAAATAAACACATTTATTCTAAAAATGTTGTTGGCATGATACAGGTTATGCTCTTCTCATATATATTATGATGGTGTGATACTAAACCCCTAATGGAAGGGATTGTGCTTGATTTTCATATGAAGAAGACATAATCTTTCAATCATTTTAATAGAGGTCTGATGCTGGCATGTCAGTAACTGCTAGTAGTCCTTTCTTAATTTCTGTTATCATTGTCACTCTGCTACCTATTCTAACATTGGATTCGGACTTTTGCTTTGCGTATGTGCGTATTGCTATGTGTATGTTTATTCTACATTGTCTAGAGGTATAGGGGAGGGTTGAGATCTCACAAAACATATTTAACCCCGACGCCTTTTTGCACCTGTCCCAAGTCAGGAACCTCTGGCCTTTGTTAGTCTTATTTGGGTTTATAAATTTGGTTCATCTACATGTTTCGGATTTTAATGTGACGTCCATTTTCTCTGAACTAGTACACATTTTTATGTAAGGGCCAGCTGAAGCCTGCCTCCGGGTGCTGGATTTTCTCGCTGTGTTGAAGACCCATTGGTGGCCTTGGGCTGTTTTCTGCTCTTTGGTCGGGTTGTTGTCTCTTTGACACATTCCCCGTTTCCATTCTCAATTTTATTTAACAATTGACAGGTGACTATAAAATATAACAGGCTTTAACTCGATCCGAGAAGGAATGATCACGCCACTAGTTAGCCCCTTGATTCGAAAACTAATTTTTAAACTAAATATCAAAGTAACATACTTTAAAATGTTAAAAGCATTTTTGTCTGTCAGACATCAGAATTTATATATATGGGCAAAGTATATTTACCACAGAGAATCAAACTTCTAACGTTTACTCAAAAAATTCAAAAACAGTCAAAATAGCCTCATTTTGAAGCATTGACATGAATATTTCGATATGAACTTAGGTTTTATACAAAAAGTTTTTTTTCGGTAAAGGATGTATGTTACAACAATTTAAAGGAGCGTAAATATCTTTCTTGGGTAATGCTCATATCTGTTTTTTCTTCTTCCAAAATGTATGTTTTGGTAACACATGACACATTTGTCAATTTCAACATGTTAATGACAACATAGTAACATTGTAAGTAATCTTTCTCTGCTAATTTGTCCAGTTAAGGTAATTAAACACATGATGATATACAGAATACATTCATAACTTGACACAGACATAGGAGCATGTGAAACTTTTTTAAAGATATCTAGCAATCCCTTATCACTCCATTGTAATTCAACTTATACATTATGTAATAGAAATTTTGAAAAAAAAACTAGTTTGTTGCGCTGTAGTGCAAAGATATGAGATACATTACACTTTTTGAACTTTTACGTTTGTGCGTACCAGATAAAGGTTGGTCCATGCATGATAGAAGAATATACATCATAATACAGATTTTCAGCGAATCCTATTTTTCGTAATGTAAAAGATGAAACGTCGAAAAAGATCACCATATAAAACAATGAATTTTGGACATACTCATTGAAGTCTAAGACAATAAATATGTATTGTAGAAAAGGTTAAATTCGATAAAGGGATATTATAATGATAGTTCGATCACTGACTACCGCTTTGGCTGTGAGGTATGAAAAAATGCATTGAAAAACATAACAAGACCATCGTTTGATTCAATGGAATTCGCCTTAAAGTTTCTTTTGTGTTTGTCTTTTTAAAGTTCGTTAATAGCTGTTACATAGAACAAGAATTCTTGCTTTCAACTTAATGGGTTTGTACTTTCCTGAAGTATTTTTTTTTCTTTTTGTTGCCTTTTAGGTCCATGTGTGTTTTTCTTTTCGTTCAAGTTGACACTGTGATTCATTTGTCTACTTTGACATTACGCAAGTTATTTTCTGTTGTTTTGGAAACATTTCGTTGCTTGTATTATTTAATAAAACTAAATTATTGATCTAAGTTTGGGTTAAATAATATTAGTAATCTTTTAGAAAGTTTTACGGATGCAGTCATCATTTGGTTGACCCTTTTAAAAAATATCTCAGTTAAAAACGAGCGAGTGTATGACCTACTTAGCTGCAATCCGTTCCTTGCTTCCTCATTATGACTTGCAACTCGTAGATCAACAATTGCTCATCCTACCGGGAAACCCATGTTCACTGCCAGTAAGGTATTTATATTGCTCAAAACTTGTTTTTGTTTGTGTATTGTTTAAAAGACTGATGTTTTTGGTTTGTCTTCATTTTTTTTTATATTGGCCATGATGTTGTCTGTCTTCAACTATACATGGTCTTTGATTGATCCCATAGTCTTTCTGTTTTGGGAGATCTAAACATTCATGTTTAAAGTCATGAGTCGCGGTAACGAAGCCAAATATCAACAATATATCTTCTCGTATATTGTTTTCATGTCTTATTATTTTATGTTTGTCATTCGCTGGTGTCTTATTCATGTTAGTCTATTGTTACATTTGTATATATACCTGGCACCATTTGTATATAAACTGTTATCACCATCAAAGTTGTAATTTGTGACATTTTGAAATAACTTTCCATTAGCTATATCTGCAAACAAAAAATCAAGAAAAACTGCTAAAATATTGTTAGTGATACATCATCGAGGTTAGTAAATATTCCAAAAACAGATTTATTGATTGTCATCCATCTGTGCTTTGATAAGAAGCAAGCTTATTCATAATTCATACTGTTTAAACTTTTACAAAATCTGTTTTAAAATATTTTACAATATGATTATGATTCTTGTATTATATACAATACTGTATTATTTGTGTCTTCTGGTTTTTTGTCGTTAAAGTATTCGAAAGTATATTTCTTTCAACGGAGAGCTTTTGAAGATAGTGTAACGTGAAGTACAACAGGGTGCAATTATTCTATCTTTAAATCTGAAAAAATAGGACAAAACGAACATGTTATTACTAAATTACATTTCTTTATAATTCGCCAATATGAATAAACAATGGTATACATTTGTTCATTATTTGGGATTTTTAAGGGGGTACCCAACACTTTGATTAAAATAGAGTTGGCTCGTTTGATTTTTATGAAACTTGGACAAAAAATTTACTTGGATCTGTTGACAAAGTATAAAAATTTCAAAAAATTTTAACCACGCAATTTACAGAAATAAATTTATTAGATATATTGTATATAGCAGTTTGACAAACACTTATTTTGATAATTGGGAGCTTGATTTCTCTTTACTGATAGTCTGTTAATAAAACGTTCAGCTGATTTTTAAACAGGTAAATCCCTTGGGTGTTCTTTATCCCTTATAATTGATTTGACATTGCCGATATATTAAGCTTTTCATTTTGTTACTTAAAAGTATGTGTAGAGAAATTATATGTAAAATTGAAAAACTATTTCGTCTTTCAAACAAGTCAACCCAGATACCAGACTTACACCAGACGAGCGTTTGGTCTACACAAGACAAACACATGGTTGAAAGGCTTAATGAATAACAAAGTTAACTAGTATTGCAAACCAAAAAAATCATCGACACATTTAGTAGCAGACCTTAGTGTTTTGAATATAACTGAAAAATTGCATGAACTGTAAATTTGCAAAAAATGACGGCATCACAGGTATTTCAAAACCATCGATAAACTTTAAAATGAGAAATAAAAACTAGATGTGACCAAAAAGCCATTGTATTTTTAGTCACTCATTCTCATTGTTACAAACTGAAAGACTGAAAAGTATTCTATAGTTATCCTTTCTGAAATAGTGTAAAGGGCGATTCCAGAAATTATGTTGGCCGGAATGAATTTGGTTTCTTACGTGTTTCAATGGGTTAGTACCGCTACCGCTGGTAAAATCGGACGATGTCGTCCAAATAGTAGCTAATGTTGTCATATAGGCGTGACTTTTGATATTAAACTTCTAGCTCATAGAATATAATTATTTGAAAATATGATTGCATCGTCCTTGGGCAAAATGGCCTTAGACGATTTTTGTTTGTCCTGATTGTTTTTCATAGTTTCAATTGTTTGATAGTTTTTGACTTCCAATTTTTAAACTATGCATAATATTTACTACCGAAGTAAAATTGCTGCTGTAGTAAAATTTATCAGAAAATGTAGGGGCTTAAAAGACAAATAAAAATAAACTCAGAAGTGTCTGCTATGGTCTTACGCACTCACGATTAGTGAGTCCAATTTGTACGAAACCTATACACTATAAAACGTATGTATAAGTCATGTCACAAGTTGGGACATCTATACAAAGTATCGATACACTTGTACTGATGGTCGATAATTTCATTGACATACATTTCACCAGTAATAATTATAATTTTAAAAAAAAAATCGTTGAGTGATGCCTTGTTTAATACACGTTTTTATATTAGCATTTATATTAAATAACAAACTATGAAAGCTGGAACTATGAAAGCTGGAACTATTTTGTAGTGGAAGGTGAGAATTTGTTACACCTATTTGGTTTGTTCGGAATGATATAAAGGATAATGAATCCATTAAAGGTTAATCTTACACTGTCGCACGCTTATGGTTCGCTTTATTTGAATTTAATGTGATTTCAATAGTTGGTATATTTACTTAAAATGTTTTAATCGACGTCGGTTAAATTTGTTCATATTTAATGTGCAAATTTTTAGCTGATAAAAAGACAATGCCGTTTTTGAAAAGACATTGCATTGTAGGACTCATTGTGCAATAAAAGTAGCAAAAAAAGATATGGAAACTGATTCTAAAATCATACAAAATACATCATGTTTGATACAAAGCATTTGACTTTAAGATTTATTTCTACGAAAACACAAGAAAAACTAAAAATAACAAATAAGAAATCCTACCTCATGTATAACGAGTTAAGTGTTGGTAAAACACAATCCTTTACAGAACTGTTACATATAAAAATGCATGCACACACATTGAAAATGTTAATACAAAAGATAAAATGTTTTGATTGAAATAATCATATGTAAGTTGATGCATGCATAGAAGAACATGGTTGTCGTTGTCTGTCATATTTTGTTTTGTTTGACTTTCTTATTTGAATTCACATACGGAGGATTCATTTATTTTCGTGGGTACCAATTTTCGTGGATAAGGGCAAAAATCGTATTTTCGTGGATATTTGAATTCGTGGCTTTGCAAGCCAATAGAGAAATCCGTCTTCGTTGAACATTTGTATTCGAGGTGCACGAAATAAACGAAATTTGGTATCCCATGAATAATAATGAATCCACAGTACTATATTTTTATTATGAATGTAAGATGCTGAGGATCAATTTGGTTGGGTTTTTTTCTATATTGCACTAGGTGTCATAGTTGGTATGTTCCTAAATCTTATATTGTGATGTCAAGATGTATAATACAATGTAAGATAAATCAAATTCAGTTTACTATTGTAATTCCTATGATTAACATCTTACTGTGGATTCATTATTATTCGTTGGATACCAATTTTCGTGTATTTCGTGGTTACCAGTAAACTACGAATTTAAATGTTCAACGAATTTCACATTTTCTATAAGGTTGTAAGCAGACACTTCGGCAAATCCACGAAATCAAATATTCACGAAAATGCAAGTTTTTCTCAATCCACGAAAATTGGTACCCTCGAAAATAAATGAATCCACAGTATGTTAAATTAATCACCTGTCGAAGAAATTAGAAGCATTAAAAAAGAGGCAAAAATTACAAAAGGGACATTCAAACTAATCAGTCGAAAAAAAACGATAATGCCATGGCAAAAAAAAAACGACAAAGGGAAAAACCACATTATCAAAAACGCAACAGAGAAAGACTGAGCAACACGGACCCAATGAAAAACTATGGGTGATATCACGTGCATGTGAAGGGTAAGCAGATCCTTCTCAACATGTGTCATCCGTCGTGTTGCTCATGTAAGAAAAAACCCGGTGATAAGTATGTTTCGGAAGGTCACATTCGAGGAACTTTATAACAGAAACAAGTAACCCTCCTGAGACCTTAAAACATCAACATCATGCAAAGACGTAAAATGAATACACATTCAACTAAATAAAAATTGTTTGATAAACTTTTTCAAGATTACTAGTATTTTAAGACCTTTACCATATAGTTATGAAAGTATTTCCTCCACGTTGCCTGTATACACGCTACATCGTTACATAATAGGCCTTTACAATGCGATGATAGATTTTGATAAAACGGAAAATTTAGATTGTGTCGTTTGTTTATAATTACAATGTGTATTGTTTTATTTCCGCCTGTTGACCTTTGGCATCCTTGTGTTTCATTACCAACTTCCTATAGAAAATAAGTCAACAGTCATTTGTTCTTTAACCATTTCAAAACTTCACAAATAACATTTAGGTAGTTTGACCACGTTTACATCCAACAATCATGCAATATATATCATCGAAGTGTGCTTACCACTTTGCATCCATTCCTATATTATAAGTACTTTTATGTGTAAGTTTATTCTATAAGACACAGCTTATTGACCAACTTTTAAACTTTTAAACTACATGATTTCATAAAATTGACAAAATTTAAAACGTATAATTTATTTCTTGTATGTGGGTCACGATGAGCTACTTTATCTAGTAAATTCTCAACGAAACAAGTTACCAAAGCTCTAAAATCAAAGAAAGCCGTTTTCAAATCAAGTAAGAAGTTAATAATTGGTTCCAAAATCAATATACTGAAAACGCAGACACAATCTTGATAAAGTGCATCTAAACAAACCCCTTTACCTGTTAAATTTCCAATTTCCTAACAAAGTCAAATTCCTGAAGTTAACTGCTGAATTGTTACAAAACAACTGTAAAAGAATTCGGAGGTTTCCCACGTTATTTATGGTGTGAAAAGCTTTATATTTATCCTACGCGTTAATTTCCAATTATCATATGTATACTTTGCCAGGATATTGGCAGTTCATCACAAAAAAGCTAATGTCTTTCCGGGGTTTCAGGTAACAGATAACGTAGAGAGGTAAAGTAGAAAAGATGAAGATCATGAGGATTACAAATTAGATTTAAGTAGTATGACAAGAGGCGCAGTAAGAATGAGTTGACTTGGAATAGTCAACTCTGATGTGTTACAGGATCTCAGCATTGAACCCTTAATTGTACTGTTGGGTTGCAGTTTGAGCAGCATATTCACTGTGGTGTAAATTATTATACTAGGATTGCTACGTCTTAGCAAAATGTCAGCAGCCGCTATGTCAGTGAAATACAGTCACAAGGTAAATATAAACTGCAATAGACAAAAGACCAAACTTCAGTAACTCCAGCAATACAAATGTTGTATTGTTAAGTCACTTAAACATGACAACAAAAAATTATACTAAATATTAAAGCTTTCAGATAAAAGATATAAGAGAAGTCTCTGTCACAATGTGTTATACAGTTAGGATAATAAAAAAAGTGTCAAAATCTCATAACTCCCATACAAATTGTGTATTCAAAATGACAGTAGAGAACGGCTGCGTACAAATGATGACAAACGATCAGAAAACCTGTCTTCGTAATGTGTAATTGTATTACGAGAGTCTAAAATGTTGAAAGTTCTATAAATACTATAAAATTTGTCGAACCAGGATGACGGTAGAGTATGGTCTCCCACATATGCAAGCTAACCTTGTCGATCGAATGCAATCCTCTATTTTAATTTTCGAATAACTAGCTGTGGCTTATAGAATAATAAACAGATATTAATTTTAAATCACATATGTTTACGCATGTCTTCAACCATTAACGTTTCGGTATACTGATAATACATGAAGGAAGCAAATTTGTAAGAACTTATGTCGACAATATACATTCCAAGAGATGGTTGTAAACGTGATTGAAATGGTCTGCATTTTATTTGTTATGTATTAAAATTGGTTAAAAAAAACAATATATTGATGACTTATTTCCACAGGAAGTTGTAAAAGAGGGACGAAAGATACCAGAGGGACAGTCAAACTCATAGATCGAAAACAAACTGACAACGCCATGGCCAAAAATAAAGAGACAAACAGACAAATAATAGTACAGATGACACAACATAGAAAACTAAAGACTAAGCAACACGAACCCCACCAAAAACTGGGGGTGATCTCAGGTGCTCCGGAAGGGTAAGCAGATCCTGCTCCACATGTTGCACCCGTCGTGTTGCTTATGTTATTACAAATCCGGTAAATGTAGAACAATAATACTAAAAGGTCAATACGCGGAAATTAAAAAATACGCAATGTAACTATAAACAAACGACACAAACTCAATATCCTATTTCTCTGCAATTAAAATTTGTCAAACACTTCATCGAAAACTAAAGACAGAGCAACGTGAACATAACCAAACAAGGGATGGTCTCAGGTGCTCCGAAAAGGTGGGCAGGTCCTGTTCCGTATGTTACAGATGACGTCTTACGCCTATAAAATACTACCCGAATGTTATCGTTTTCGTCTTTTTGTTTATGTTCATTTTACTCTGATTTGTGTTGCGTGAAATTTGAACTTTTGGAATAAAAACATCAATGCTAATCAGAAAATGTAAATATCCATACACAATTCAAACAATATGTTGATGTTAATAGAAAGTATTAAATTTGAGTTTCCTTTCTGTAAGCGATATCCATTGTTTCGGGTTCATGTGAGTGATTCATATCACTTTCTGTATCAAAGTTTTAAAAATGGTGACGCATGTTGATCAAAATTAATCTATGTTTTATAATACAAGACAAACATTTTCCAGAACTTTGAGCATAAAACAACTCATATATGATATAGTATTTCAAATACGAATTATTCATTTAGATTACCTGGAAATGCACGATAAGATTACGAAAGGAGTGAAAACAGCAACACGACCAAGGTGCATAAAAAACTATAAGTCGATGAAATACAGAAAACCCCACCGTCAACAAAACACTACACAGAAAACTAAAGATAAGCAACACGAATTCCGATACAACCACACATGTGAGCATGTACTCCATAAAAGGAAAACAACCGAAACCGTCAAAACTTGCTTCTTTTGTTCATTTTTCCCTGTGACTAAAACAACGTACGAACTTTATGTTATGTCATGGAACACAACAGTCTGTTTCAATTGAAAATCGTTTGAAACAAAAAGTATTTATTTAGCGGCTAATGAGGAAGGGGTTATAACTGTTGTAATTCTAAATATATTTTCTATTGTAAAGATAAACATAGCAGTCCTTAGAGGGTGAAAATAAGATCAATCAATTTGCACAATTGGAAATCTCAGGGTTGATGGTTGTTTCCTCGTGTATGACGTAATAATAATTTTGAAATACCTCAATTTTGCTATCACACTTTTTTGGTTACATAACCAAAGGATTGGAAAAACAAGCATCACACTGGATAATTAATAAACCTGTGAACCCTGTTGCCAAAGTTTCCTAATATCAAATATGTAGGAGAGGTTGCATTTTTAAATTCGAAAGATAAACTTTTTTTTTTAGTTTCAGATTTGAGGCCCTGAGTTACACCTTGGCTAAAGATTTAATTATGATTTTTTTTCACGTTGAGATCAGACAAATATTTATTAAAATGTTTCAATTGTTGTTATTCAAACTATGATGAAGAGATGCCAAACCATGAGGATAGTAATATTTTTTAATATTAATGAATTTTCCCGACGCATTCTAACAGTAGATTTCCTGATTTCATTTGAAGCATGCTTTTCATGGTGTCATCAGCGCACCAAATGCGCTTATGGGTAAATACAGAAGAAGTTATAAAAATTGTATCTCCGTCACTACCGTTTAGAACAACAAATCTGTCATTTTCTAGACCGAGCTCAGCTGTTTGAAACTATGCGATTTGGTTTTCCATGACTGTTGAATAGTTCATAACTTTTGTCATATACCAAAATAGTAGTCAAACACAATCTTTGTTTTGTTTACACGTGATACATTTATGTTATCATATCATATTCAATACGGACAATATTTATAGGTCAACGATCTTCATTTTAAGAGGCCGACTCGTAATACATTCCAAATGAAAAAGAAATAAGACATTTTGAAGTAATGTATTTGTTTTAATTTTACGACATATTTGAATTGTAAAGCGAATCCACAAACATTTTCATGATAATTACTGTTTTTCTGTGCCAAAATTCGATATCTCTATTTGCCTACAGGCCAATATTTCAATGATTATTTGAAAGATAATAAATATGATATTTTATTCCATTTTGAAGAATTAGATCAGGTGAAATAAATATAAAAATAAAATATAAACGTATGACAAAATCTCAAGTAAAAATGATCAAGATGATTTTTCCATATTTCCGTTTATCTTGAAATATGTGTATGCACATGATTTGTATCGTGGAATGATCTGGAAACATTTTTTTTTTATTAGTAATCAATAAGTATTTTAAACATATCTGCTACCAAATACCGACAGGTCTTATTCTTTTTAACATATTTCTTTTTGTACCATATCGTCGGAGCTGTGTCCCCCAAATACCGAAAAAAATAAGATACCAGGATATATCAGACATCATGTAGTGAAATATCCTTTGGGTTACGCCTCAAATCTTTATATTAATGGAAAGATCTGAAATAGCTGGTTATTATGGCAGAAGATTTTGTGTGAAAAATTATAAATTGCATGCTCCAATAAAGTACGTATATACGTTTGGAATTCTTTTTATCAAAGAAAGATTGACTGAATCATTTCTTATATTCACGAATTCTCTACAAGATCTAAGGCAAATTCTGATGCACAACAGATCTTGAGTAAGTAGTTTTATTATACTACGAAGTCGGTTTTTGGAATGCTGGTAGGACTGGTGTTATTGGTGTTATTGATTTTCAGGTTAAAATATTTTCTATGTACCAAAGAAAGAAATATTTTCTCTTCAACTACAAATAACACAGTTACAGAGAATGTAAGTATGTGGTTTTATTGACTTTTGAAAACTGATATTCGCTGAGGCCAACAGCTTATCTTAAGACTTCAGTATGAGTGTATTTTGTGACACGCAAGTTATTCAGTGTGCACAACATTTTTGATGCTATTTCTTCATAGACAGAAAAAAATATTACAGTCATTCCTTAATTAATTAAAAATTAAAAACAGATATGACCTATACAGCAATGAGATATGTAGTTACTTGTAGGACCGACGCCCATTATTTCCCTGGAATGGACAGTTCTTATAGT